GTTGGGTCTCAGATGAATATTTCTTGGTGTTACACACGGAATGACAAAGTTATATATACCCTCTATCACCACTGATGGTGGTGGAGGGTATAAAAAATGCAAATATTTCTCAAATTCTTTATAAAAATTTTATATATCTTGCAAAATTCTAAAAGGTCAACCAAATGACGAAATATTTCACAAAATCTTGCCATGCACTAAACATTTGATTTTTTAGAAACAAAAGTATCCTGCAAATTTCTAAAAAGTCAACTGAGTAGTAAATATTTCACAAAATCTTGAAAATTACTGAGCAGTTAATTTTTATGACTTTTTCTAAAAAGTCAAATTAATAGTGAAATATTCCACAAAATCTTCTAAATTGTGAAATAAAAAAAAAGTCACTCAAGTAGTGAAATATTTCACAAACTCTTGTGATTTATTGAATAGTTGTTATTCTAGAAACTGTCTTACATTCAGTTACGAATTTAAAACAATACAAAGATTTCTCAAAATCCAAATATTCTAAAATATTTCTCAAATTCGCTATAAAAATTTGAAATATTTGCAAAATTCAAAAAAGCCAAATGATAGCGAAATATTTCACAAAATCTTGAAAATTACTGAACAGTTGATTTTTAGTCAAATGAATAGTGAAATATTTCTAACTGAATAGAGACATATTTCACAAAATCTTTTAATTCTGTCAACGATTTCTTTTAGAAAGGCATTTATAAAAAGTCAACTTAATAGAATATATTTCAAAAAATCTTCGAATTTTGTCAACGACTCATTGTATAAAGTCACACAAATAGTGAAATATTTCCCAAAATCATGCAATTTACTGAAATTTCAGAAAATTTCTAAAAGCTCAACTGAGTAGCAAAATATTTCACAAAAATGAAAAATGGTGAAATATTTCACAAAATCTTGCCATGCAAAACATTTGATTAGCTAGAAACAAAAGTAGGAATATCCTGCAAATTTCTAAAAAGTCAACTGAGTAGTAAATATTTCACAAAATCTTGAAAATTACTGAGCAGTTAATTTTTATGACTTTTTCTAAAAAGTCAAATTAATAGTGAAAATCTTCTAAATAGTGAAATATTTCACAAAATCTTGCAGCTGAACAGTTGATTTTCTAGAAACAGTGTTACATTTAGTTACAAATTTAAAAAAATGCACAAATTTCACAAATGTATAGTGAAATATTTCACAAAGGTAGAAATATCTTTTATATTTCTAAACATTCAACTGAATAGTGAAATATTTCACAAAATTTTCGAATTTTGTCAAAGATTTTGTACGATGAAGAGCTTTTTCTTCACCGGCAACGTTATAGAGCAATTCGGTTTACTTTGAATTGTTGTCTATAGGTTGCTGAAATTGTTCTATGGGCAGTGATTATCTATAAAACAAAAGAAATTAAAAACCGTGGTACCGACAAATAAAAAGAGCGATGTTTTTCGATTGACTTCAACTATGACAATGATTTATTTATTTAAAAATTCTTTTCTTAAGCCTAACAATTGATCATGTAAATAAGGGCTACACTGTTGTTATTGTAATATTATTTGTTTCTCACTTCCAATGTACCAACTCAACTTGTTTATTTATATTCAAAATATGCAAAAACAAAATACATGCAATAAGTCTCCAAAATAAGAAATTGCATTTTTAAGAGCAACAACAATATGCTTATAATAAGAATTGGAGTGAGAAACAAATAAAAAACTAACGGGTCATTACCAAAAATATGTACAGTGGTTAGTATGAACAAAAAATAATGACAAATTACAGTGGCAACAGTGAGCCAAAAATATGAATAATTTAAATACAATAAAAAATGGAAAATTTAAACAAAACAAATAATAATGTTAGTAATTATTATACGGTGACCTAACATTCCGGCCCCATTGAAAGGACACTTTCAAGAAGATAGAAGAGCTAGTCTGTGGATGGGGCGACGTATAACTCCTTTTGTAGTTTTGATGTCGACAACTCGAACACGATCATCTCTTCCACGAACAATGTTGATGATTTTACCCATGAGCCAACGCTGCGGGGGTAAATTATCTTCTTTGATGATGAGGGGTAATATTAGAGTTGGTGCTAGTCCATTTGTTGCGAGTCTGGAGCTCATTTATATAATCATGGGACCACTTTTTCCAGAATTGTTGCTTGATGGCGCTTATTCGGGCCCAATATTCAAGTTTGTTAATCTCTTTTATAGGAACATCACGTTCTGGCAAACTACGGAGGGGAGCGCCTATCAAGAAGTGTCCTGGTGTAAGAGCTTCAAAGTCACTGGGATCTGAGGATAGATGCGAAATGGGCCTCGAGTTTAAAACTGCCTCTATCTCAATCATAGCCGTTGCGAGTTCTTCGTAGGTGAGCCTTGTGTTGTCCAGGGTTCTGGTTAAGTGACCTTTGGCCGATTTGACGGCCGCCTCCCACAATCCGCCAAAATGTGGTGCCCTAGGGGGAATAAATCGAAAATTAATAAATTGATTCGAGCAATAATTTGTAATAAAATTTGAATTTTTTGGCTCAAAAAGGAACGACTTTAATTGAGCCAACTTAGAGTTTGCACCAACGAAATTTGTTGCATTATCACAGAATATATCTGTGGGCAGACCTCTACGACCAATCATCCGTTTTAGGGCAGCAATGAAGGCATCTGTTGACAGGTCGGATACCACTTCAATATGGACAGCTTTGGTAGCGAGACAAACAAATATAGCGATGTATGTCTTGTAGGGGACCTTTCCTCTAATTCTTAGGTAGGTGTTGACTGGACCACAAAAATCGACAGCACACCTTGCGAAGGGCCTTGACGGGTTGAGTCGTTCCACAGGCAAATTTCCCATCATTTGTTGCAACAACTTTGGGCGATAGCGAATGCATTGAGGGCACGAATTTACAATGCTGCGACACAAATTCCTGGAGTTGATGATCCAAAATTGTTGGCGAATCAATGACATTAGAGCCTTGGGTCCAGCGTGGTAGTTACTGATGTGCAGATGACGTACGTAACAGTAGACGAAATGGCATTTGCTGGGCAAGATTATGGGGTGTTTTTGGCCTTCAGAAATTGCCGCGTACTCCAAGCGTCCGCCGACCTTGAGCAAGTTGAAACCATTTGACGAATCTAGGAAGGGGTTCAGACACTTTAGAGCACCTTGGGGATCTTTCTTCTTTAGAGCTCGAGTTATGTCATCTTGAAAATGTAGTTTCTGGATGTTGAAAACGATACAAAGTTTAGCATTTTCTAATTCTTGGGGCTGCAAAGAGTCAGAATTGGAAATATTAGTTTTTGTTTTTTGAGCAAAACGAAACATCCAGGCAATAATACGAATGATTTTTAAGTACGAGCTATATTTTCCAACAGAATCGAGGATGTAGTTAGATTTTGTTTCAAGATGAAGTACGGTTTTCCGTTTTTCTTTGTCGAATACTTGCTGATTTTCTTCGGAGAGTTTATCAGTTTTAGTAGGGGGCCACTGAACAGGATCGAGAGCGAGAAATGCTGGTCCGTTGAACCAGATGGATGAGGCGAGTTCCTGCACAGTTGAACCACGAGAAACGATGTCAGCAGGGTTGAACTGGGTTGGGACATGTCGCCAAACGCAGCCATTAGTTAGATCTTGAATTTCTGATACCCTATTGCCAACAAAAACTGACAAAGTAGATGAATGTTGCTTTAGCCAGTGAAGAACTAGTTGCGAATCTGTCCACAGAACGACTTCCAGATTTGGTATTGCGAAAAGATTTTTGATTTTGGAATACAATTTTGCTAGAAGTTGTGCGCCACATAACTCAAGTTTGGGTAACGATTTTCGCTTTGTAGGAGCAACTCTAGATTTGGCAGTAAAGAGCCGAACAACAACATTTCCTGAAGAAGTTTTAACACGAAAGTAAAAACAACAACCATAAGCACGAATTGATGAGTCACAAAAGCCATGAAGTTGAACTGATTTAGAATCAGGAGCGAGACAAAAACGAGGAATTTTAAGTGAAGGTAATAGTTTGAGATCAGAGACGAAAGATTTCCAAGCCGAGTGTATTTCTTGAGGTACAGACTCATCCCAGCCAATTTTTAGAATCCACAACTCTTGCATGATGATTTTAGCTTTTATTATGAGAGGGGATAAAAGTCCTAGGGGATCGAAAAGCGCTGACGAGAGCGACAAAATTGTACGTTTGGTTATTTTTTCATCAATTTGGACTTTAGGCGAAAACAAAAATAAGAAAACATCTTTTGTTGGTCCCAAGAGATACCAAGAGCGCTAGTTACTGCAGAATCTTCAATATTAAGGTCTTTGACAGTTTTGTCGTCCTGAAAATCTCTATGATTAGAGTGCCACTTATCTAATTGAAACGAACCACGAATTAGAATTTCATTAACCTCCTGCTTCATACGAGACAATTCTTCAAGCGTATCTGAGCCACAAAGAAAATCATCAACGTAAAATGATGACTTAATGGTTTTTGCACCAAGTTCGAATTGGTCCATGTATTGGTCTGCGAGATAGTGAAGGCTTTTGATGGCAAGGTAGGGCGCAGCTGACATTCCATAGGTGACTGTATTTAGGTGATATGTTCGAATTTCTTCCTCTTCTGAATTTCTCCACAAAATATATTGGAATTTTTAATCTTGGGAGTCAATAAGGACTTGTCGATACATTTTTACTATATCGGCAAGTAAGAGCGAAGCGATGAAGACGGAACCGAAGTAAAATTTTATACAGCTCATCTGAATTGTTGGGCCAACCATAAGAAGATCATTGAGAGACTTCTGGGACGATGATGGACACGAGGGCATCGAAAACAACTCTTAACTTTGTGGAAGTGCTACCTTGGTTTGAAAACGCAATGGTGAGGGATGAAATAATGAGGCTCGTGTAGACGAGGGCTACGAACTAGACTCATATGTCCAAAATCTTCATACTCCTTCATAAAAGCAACATATTGTGATTTAAGATTGCTGTCACGAGCAAATCGTCTCTCTTGAGATACAAATCTTTAAGAGCCATATTTCGAGAAAGACCTAAAGCGTCAGGAGATTCCTTGAAGGGCAATTTAACAACAATCCTACCAGAAGATTCACGATGAACAGTATCATTGAAAAATGTTTCACATTCAGATTGTTCTGTTGTCAAATCATTGATTGAACTTCATCAATTTCCCACAAGCGCTGTAATTTAAGATCAATATCTTCTTCTGTCGAGAGCATACAAGAAGAGCCACAAATATTGGGTTGTTTTGATACATAACGACCTGCTACAATCCATCCGAAAAGTGTTTTGTGTAATTTAGGCAAATTAGGGCCAAGTTTTATTTGACCAACTGCTAAAATGTCGAAAAACGTTTCAGTACCAATAAGTAAATCAATTCGTTTTGATTTGAAGAAGTTTTCATCCGCAAGTATTTGGGGGCAAATTCAGGATGAGACATCTAATTCATTATCAGGTTGATATGAAATATGAGGTGTGACACAAAATGAGAGCGAAACTTCAAAATCTGTGACTCGAGATTTTACATTTGTGGACGACCTATATTTAGATTTGCTAAGAGTTTTGTACGAGGCAAATGTAATTTTTGGGAAAATTCATCGGTTATGAAATTCAATTGAGAGCAAGAATCTAACAAAGCGCGTCCCAATTGATAGCGACCAGTGGAGTCACGAACTATAACCATGGCAGTAGCAAGCAGCACCTGTTCCGGCGAGGATTTTTCCATATGGGTATGGACCGAGGCAGAAGATTCATTCAAGGCAACATGAGAAGTAATAGGTTCAGCAGCAGGGGACGAGGGCCGAGAAGCTGGCTGAGACCAATGAAGCAAACTATGATGCGAGCGAGAACAAAATTTGCACTTGAATGTGGAGGAACAACTACTTACTTGATGCCTTTTTGGACAAACAATTTAGACAAAGGCTTAGACGTTTTGCATTTTCATACCTTTGACTAACATCCATATCTTTGAACCGAGAACAACGACTAATTGAGTGGTCAGATTTGGAGCAAAGCACACAAGAGCGTTTTGATACCGAAAAAGTATACCCAGGTTTTGAATTTTTAGATTTGGACTCACCAGATTGATGATCAGGCTTACGAGGGGCCACAAAAGTATGGTTGGTATCAACCGATTCCAAAAATTGACAACGCCTTTCAAGGACCTTGGAGCAATCATCCCATGTTGGCAATCTGGTAAAGTCCAAGGAATCTTTCCACTTTCTTCTGGTATCTTCATCCACTTTTTCCATCACTATGTAAATCAGCATGGAATTAGCAATATCACTATGTGAGCCAAGAGACAGTAAGGAACTATAAAGGGCAGAAACATTATCGACGAGACTTCGTAATTGGGCACAATTGTATTTGGACATGGCAGGAAGTTCAAAAAGGGCGGTAATATTTTCCATAAAATAAGCGAGCTATTATCATAACGCGGTTTTGAGCCTTTCCAGAGCCTTCGGGTAATTTTCGTTCGTAATCTGGAAAGCCTTGACCGTTTCTAGAGCTTGGCCTTGGAGGCAGTTGAGCAAATGATTAAACTTTTCAATATTTGATAGGCCAAACTCGCGATCGATAACTTGATTGAACGACCGTAATGAAATTTTTGTACTCACTGTACTTACCACTAAATGTGGGCAATTTCAGCTGAGGCAATTTGTGGCTGGGAGCTGGGAAACAAATGGTGGACTCGGACAATGTTGTATTATGAACATCTTCACCAAGCTGCGACTGGATATTCATTTTGGCTGAGATGTACAAATCCTCTATTTCGGGCCTAGCATTGTCCTCGGGATCGTATTTATACCCTACACCACTTTAGTGGGGAGGGTATATTGGATTTGTGCTGATGTTTGTAACATACAAAAATATTCGTCCTAGACCCACCTTAAAGTATACCAATCGGCTTAGAATCGTTTTCTGAGTCGATTAAGCTATGTCCGTCCGTCCGTCCGTCCGTCTGGCAGGCTGGCTGGCTGGCTGGCTGTCCATGTAAACCTTGTGCGCAAGGTACAGGTCGCAATTTTCAAGATAATTGGATGAAATTTGGCACGCACGTTTTATTTGACCCAAGGACGAAGCCTATTGAAAATGGTTGAAATCGGTCCATTATTTCACCTAGCCCCCATAGAACAGAACCCCCCGAAAAGGGCTTTTGAGCTCATAATTTTGTTAAATTTACAGATATATCGATAAAATGCGGCACAACTAAGTTTTATAGAAGTCTGGATGACCCTGCCAAATTTCATAAAGATCGGGCCCCATTTGACCCTAGCTCCCATACAAAGTCCCCTTCAGAAAATTACTTGAATGTCCCAAATTAACTTATAAACACAAATATCGCGATGAAATTTAGCACAATAAAATATTATGTAAATATAAATATATTCACAAAATTTTATCGGGCTTGGTCCATATTTGCCCCTAGCCCCCATATAAAGCCTCTTTCAGAAAATTAGATTTTCATCCATAAATTGCTTAAATGTATCGGAACAAGGGAATATTGAAGATAAATGCTTTATTATGAAAAATAAATCACATTTAATATTCATAACTGGTGTAGGGTATCATATGGTCGGCCACGCCCGACTATACTTTCTTACTTGTTTTCATATTGGGTTTGATACGTCAGTATCTGCTTAAAATATGACTCCAAAATCCCCAAACGGCACTTCAACTCGGCTGACGAAAGTGTCTTACCTTCTCCCCTTCCATTGGCTTCGATTTGGTTCTTGATGCGGGTAATGCTCTTCTTAGTGTTAGCCCGTGTTGCCGCTTAACCTCCTCCAGAGTCATCATAAATTTTCAATAAGTAAGGTTAGATGAGCCAAAATGTCCAAAAGTATTTACAAAATGGATGACACGCAATATTCCGAGCGACAAATTAATATACACAGAATTTTATATTATATACTGGAACCAAGAGCGAACAAATTTATGTATTTTCTTGTATATAAAAATTTGCGGTAAAATTTTAGAGTCACTATTTATTTTTCCACAAAAACTGTTCTTATGTATTGAGCCGACAAAATTTTTATAATGTTTGTAATAGGTTTTTTTTAAAATAGATTTGTAATAGGTGCGTCACCAAAATTTGTTTAACAGTTTTTTATATATGTTGCACTGTCTCTTGATTTTTCGAATAGTTTTTTTATATGTTTTCTCAGAGTTTTTTTTTTTAATGTTTAATTTTTTTTTTTTTGTTGCACAAAAGTTTTTTATTTGAACCACAAAGCTTTTTTTATTTCTGTAGCACTAGATATCTCTTTATCATAGAACCACAATTTCCACTTCACAATACGACCGTACACTTTTACTTAAGTTGTACTTCAACGACAATTTTAGAATATACCACGGACCGAGAAAGACAAATTTAGTAAGATTTAGATTAAGTTGCCGGTGAAGAGCTTTTTCTTCACCGGCAACGTTATAGAGCAATTCGGTTTACTTTGAATTGTTGTCTATAGGTTGCTGAAATTGTTCTATGGGCAGTGATTATCTATAAAACAAAAGAAATTAAAAACCGTGGTACCGACAAATAAAAAGAGCGATGTTTTTCGATTGACTTCAACTATGACAATGATTTATTTATTTAAAAATTCTTTTCTTAAGCCTAACAATTGATCATGTAAATAAGGGCTACACTGTTGTTATTGTAATATTATTTGTTTCTCACTTCCAATGTACCAACTCAACTTGTTTATTTATATTCAAAATATGCAAAAACAAAATACATGCAATAAGTCTCCAAAATAAGAAATTGCATTTTTAAGAGCAACAACAATATGCTTATAATAAGAATTGGAGTGAGAAACAAATAATAAAAACTAACGGGTCATTACCAAAAATATGTACAGTGGTTAGTATGAACAAAAAATAATGACAAATTACAGTGGCAACAGTGAGCCAAAATATGAATAAATTTAAATAATATAAAAAATGGAAAATTTAAACAAAACAAAATAATAATGTTAGTAATTATTATACGGTGACCTAACAGATTTATTTTAGAAGTCACTCAAGTAGTGAAATATTTCACAAACTCTTGTGATTTATTGAATAGTTGTTATTCTAGAAACTGTCTTACATTCAGTTACGAATTTAAACAATACAAAGATTTCTCAAATCCAAATATTCTAAAATATTTCTCAAATTCGCTATAAAATTTGAAATATTTGCAAAATTCAAAAAAGCCAAATGATAGCGAAATATTTCACAAAATCTTGAAAATTACTGAACAGTTGATTTTTAGTCAAATGAATAGTGAACTATTTCACAAAATCTTCTAATTTGTCAAAGATTTTTCCTAGAATATCACCAACTAGTGAAATATTTCACAAAATCTTACAGCTTTACCAGTAGATTTTCTAGAGACAGTATACATTCAGTTACACATTTAAAAAATTTCACAAATCTCTATAAAATGCACAGTGAAAATTTCACAATGTAGAAATATCTTTTATTATTTCTAAAATTCAACTGATAGTAAAATATTCAC